AAAAAAAATTTCCTACAGTCACACATAATCCCTTCAAAACCTTACCAGAAGTAAACCCAAGCACCCCAAAACCAGTAGCCACTTTTGAAATCTACAGACTATGCCTCCCTTCCCTACCTATACCTCTCCAGATCAGACAAGGCAGCATAACTGTCCCACACAAACAACCGTTTTTAATTGCATTCTACAACATTTAATCAGAGAGAGGAATACCATTCTATTTGTAAGATTCAAAGTTGTGTAATAATAATACATTACCACGCTAGTGAAATTTCCAGGGCTAATTATTTTATTGTACAATTGGTTTTGGTAGTAGTACAAAACAGGATTTCAAAAGCTGTATACAACACAAAAAAGTTACAGAAATGTTAATTGCAATTTAATAAACATTTTCAGGGCTTGACACTTATTTGCTTTCTTTCAAAATCATTTAGCTGTCTCCTAAATACATAGTGTACAAATAGATTTTCATATACATCATTTACATTTCAGTAGCAGGCAATACCAAGTGTATCCACCACCATCAGAATTGCTTGCAGAGGATCCACAACTTCTTGCATGTTATCTTTCCTCAAAACCCAGTCTGGTTTAATTCTGTGAAAATATTAGTGGCTTGCCATTAAAATATTATACTGCCACAGCAAAAACAGCAGACTAATTTTTAAGCTCTTACCTCAAAACTGTTTTTATTCTTAGAGGAGTTACTGGAACAAAGGAAGTTCCACTTAGGAAAGTGTTTGTTTTCTGCTTCACAAGTATTCTCTCTGCATCCATTTTGTGTTTACGAGCTGTAAGTTTATATAGGCTTTGAATGCAAGTAACAGCTCTTGGTATGCTTCGGATTTCCTGAGAAAAGGTGAAAAGAGTGCAGTTAGTACTACAAGTTTGAAAGCAACTTAACAAATCGAGAAATCTGTTTTCTTCAGCAAAAACTGAATGTTTGTCATTCAGGTTGAACTTCTACCCACAAGTTCAGTGAAACCATTTTAAAGCCAGCACACCTACAACAAGTCAGTGGTCTAATGCTTTCAAAATACTTAACAACTGGTATGCAACTTGAGATGTCAGAAAATGCAAGACAAATTTTACTAATTTCTCATTAAAATAAATTTTTACATATGTCATTGGCATATGCCTTCAATGATTGGTACAGAGAGACAAGCGTGTTTGTATCTGTGTTCATAGCAATGAAAGAATAATGCAGTAGTCAGAGGTGACTGGATAATTTAAGAGCTTGTATCTGATGGATAAGCAGCTGGCAAGTTTATAGCACAGAACCCAGACTACCATAATAACCTTATTAGAGATTCTAGCAATAGGCATGAACAAAAGGAAATTTCTTTCAGAAACAGGTTATGTCTCTGTTACCATAGAGTATGTCAACACAAAGTCACGGACAAATTATATTGCCAGTTCTTACTGACAATAAAGATCCTAACTTTATCTGAAAAGCAACAGCAAACTTTCAGAAATGGAATAAAAGCCAATTAAGTGGCAACTAAATTATATCCAATGCTAAGCAATCGATAGAAAGTCATCAAAACCCTGTGAAAAGTAGGGATTGCGATATCATAATCTTGCAAGGATTGCAGGATCAGAACCTCAATGTCTTACTGAATAGCTCTGGGTGACCAGGCCATACAGAGCAAAAAAATGAGTGTTTTCACCATCTTGGAAAAGCATTTTTTTAAATTAGAGTTTAGTCATAATTAATATTATAGTCATAACAGGTATGGTAGAGAGGGAGAGAAAAAAAAATTACAAACCCCACCAAAACATGAAAGAAAAGCATGTTAAATCAAATTATTAAACCCAAACCGTTTAAATCTTACCAAAGCTCTTTTGGAGTCCTTTGAAAGGATGGCCAACAAACAACATGTCTTTGTGAAAATGCTTCCTCCTTTCTCTGAAATTTTGTCCCCAGCTTTCCCTCTGTACATTTGCAGTAGGTCTAGCAACGTGTCTATAGAATTTTCTACTTCATAAACTGCTTGAGTAGTTCTTTCATACTGTTATACAAGAGGAAGACAAGAGAGTTCATATAGACAGATCTTTAAAAGAGCTTTCAGGTTAGAGAAAAAAAGCAAAATCCATATTCTTCCCTAGATTAAATTCATAGCTGATCTGGCTACCCTTTGTGCCTCCCGCCCTTGTTTAGAAACCCATAGAATCTGAATTTACATTTTAAATAGAAGAAGAAATTAGAATAAGTTTAGAGAAATTTAAAAATAAGTTTAGCCTAAATGTTACATTTTTTTCACTGAAATAAAAATAAAATAATTTGAATGTAAATGCCTGTAAGATGGATGGAAGATCAAAAACTATGTTCAGTAGGTATTTTAAATTTCAAAGTAAAAAAAAAAAA